GCCTCTTGGGGCCATCTTGGGGCCATCCTGCGGCCTCTTGGGGCATCGTGGAGGAAATCGATAAAAGAAGAGAGGTTCCCTAATTACAGCCCCCCCACCCAGGAGCTCCAAAAATCGCTTCCTGGGCCCCTCTTGGATCGCTCTTGGAGCGCTCGTGGCCACTCTTGGAGCCATCCTGAGGCTCTTTTGGGCCCCTCTTGGAGCTATCTTGAGCCATCTTGGAGCCATCTTGACGCGTCGGATGTGCATCGCAAGCGAAAAAGTGAGAACACCAAAAACATTGATTTCCCTTTCTGGTTTTGAAGCATTTTTGCCTCTTGGATGCATCCTAATGATGCTCTTGTGGGCACTTGGAACCGTCTTGGGGAGTTTTTGGAGCGTCTTGGAACATCATGGGGACCATCTTGAGGCATCTTGCGCTATCTTGAGCCATCTTGGAGGGTATCTTGGGCTCCCTGAGGCCCTCTTGGAGCCGTCTTGGGCCATTTTGGGCGCCCCAGCGCGCCGCGGAGCCCCCTGTCCAGGTCAGCGGGGAGGGGGTAGGGGGAGGGGTAAACCCCTCCCCGAAGGGGAAGAAGGAGGGGTGGAAGAGGAAACGCTCTAAACCACCGACGCCCAGAGGGCTGGTGGGACTATTTGAGCGCCGCGGTGTCCCTGCGTTTGTCTGTGCCGCCCGCTCGGGATCCGAGGGTTTAAACATCGGTTAATATGTATTTCACTCTGCCCTCCTCGCCCTCTCTTTCCATTTCCTGCCTTCGGCCCCCGCCCTCTTCGCGCTGGGGGAAATGAGAGTCGCTGTTCTTGGGCCCCAATCTCTGGCCTAGACGCTTCGAGGCGCCCGCCAGTTGCGGGGGGCGGTCGTCGGAGAGTCGCGCATCAGGAGCGCGCGAAGTCTTTCATATCGTTGCATTCTCTTCTTCGGACCCCTGGATGTTTGAGTTTTTCTTGCCGCCTGCGTTCTGCGTCGAATGGTTTGCCAGCGAGGTTGAAAAGCTTGATCCACTTGGAAAGCGACCGAAGCATGCCCCATAGACGGGCACTTCGTTCGCGCGCCATTTCAAGTTGGAGACCGCCCATGGAGGCGATCACCTCGCCCCGCGCTGCGCCGCCGCCTGCGTTATGTTGCCGAGGGTGCAGCGCCGAGGTGTTTGGCGTGAGCGGCGCCAGTCTTTCACCGCGCGCGCAGCATCTGAGGCTGGCGCGCAGAGTCTCGCGGGCAATTCTCCCACGCAGCACTCTGCAGCCCCGGCAGAGGGGGGGGGGGGGGGGGGGCAATTATCCCGACGGCGACGGAGATGGCGAGAGGTACTCGTTTGAAGCTTTCGTGCCCGATGTTTTCATTTCGCAAGCAATCGCCAACCAAGATCACTTCGAGCTCGTCGTGAGGAACGCCTTGAACGCTGTGGCCATGGCGATGGGCCTCGGCGTCGCATTCCAAATCGTACGACCCTGGACAGCTAGAGGACCATGATGGACCGTAGAGCGCAGGCCCAGGCGGGGGCACAACCCGCTCGCAGCTCTCACAGTCGAGGGCCGCACAAGAGCCCGGGGAAAAAGCGCGCGCGGCCCGTGCATGCATCCCCGTCGCCGGGGGGGCGCGTCGGGGGGCGCGCCGCTCTGAGATGAGACTGGGCTGCGCCGACGAGGGCGGCGAGAAGGATTTGCGCGCGTGTCCGAATATTCTCGGCATAGACGCCAACGATGTCATCCATCATCTCAAGACGGGCGGGCTGCACATCGGCGACGTCGTTGTTTGGCGATGGCTGATGTGGCCGCGCGCGTGGGGGGCCCAGGCCATTCGCGTATCTTGTTCAACGCGCTCAAGGAGGGCGCAACGGCAATGCCGCATTGGAAAGATCTCGACGGAGGCCCCAGGGCCCCTGGCGCCCCCCTTGGAATGCAGGGCCCGCGGCGGCGAGTCATCGGCGCGCGCTGTTCCAGCCGCGCTGCTGCAGGAGGCGCGTTCAGGAAGTGAGCTGGCGGAAATGCCCCGCGTGGGCGAGGGGGGGCGCGCGCGTTTCTGTTGCAGCTGAGTCACCGCGGCGCCCGCGACCGCAGCGCCGTCAGCCGAGTCTACGCCGTCTCTCGAAGCATTGGTCGAGTTGCTTCCATCTCGTTCAGGCGATGGCCATTTGCATCGAGTGTTCTCGGCGCGAGAGTTGTCGTTGCCATCCGCCCTGGGGCGATCGGGGCGAAGATGCATTGCCTGGGCGGGTGCGAGGTGCGAGGATTGCGAGCGACGCCCGCGGGCAGGGCGTCGCACGGTTGAAATTGCCATGGGTCGTTCGCAGCGTGCCCACATATCAGTGATGGATGTTATTAGCGAGAGGCCGACTCGACTGCTCAACGCTTGCGACGCGCCTGCTCGCGCTGGTTTCCTGCGGGCCGACGACGTCTTTGTCGCCGCGGTGGCAGCGGAGCTAGCGACTAGGTTTGCACGCGGTCCTGAGTAGCCCTTCAAGTTCTCGAGCGATTGTTTCTTATGCCGGTGGGGCGATTG